TTTACAACTGGATGGCAAGCCTTTGGGTTTAGCTGTCCTACATGGAAGGAGTATCTTCTCTACTCCACGTAAAGACTCTCTGAGCTGGTCCATCAGGCTTAGCTCCTGAATCTTAAACTGGAGCTAAATGAATTTAGCAGAATGTCTCTTTTTCTCCCCCAAAGTTTTGTTTTCAAGCCTTTTTGTTTGTTTGTTTGTTTGCCTGCCCTTTCTCCCCCAGGACAGAAAGCCTCTTGTCCCACCATGAAGGTGAGAGGTTGTAATGAAACCTGATCTAAGGGGGAATTAAAGTGCATCTGTTTCAGTGTGTTATCCTTATCTAGGTGTTTCGAGAAGTGTCCTGTTCCCGTACTCACTGAATCCCTGACTCCTTCCCTGTTATTCTACTTGTGCATTTTTGTGTTTTCTCATTCACTGCTCATTCGTCTGCTCAGTGATTTACTCGTTTTTATTTATTTACTCATTCATTTAAGCAATTAAAAAATATTTTTTTCTATAGGCCAAGCATTGTGCTCAGAGAGGGGTTCAAAGGTAACTAAAAAGCTCAGAGTCTGAAGAAAGTGAGGAGTAAACCAAAGACCAGGAGTGGGCCACTGTGCACCTCTGTGCCTGTTTCCTAGGGCTGCTGTGACAGAACACCACAAACCAGTGCCTTTAAAGAACCGAAATTTATCGTCTCACATTCTGGAGGCTAGGAGTTCAAATCAGGGTATTGGCAGTGTTGATTCCTCCTGAGTGCTCTGAGAGAGAAATTGTTCCACGCCTCCGGTGGCTCCAGCATCCTTGGTGTTCCTTGGCTTGCAGCTGCATCTGCCTCCACCCTCACATGGCTGTCCTTCCTCTGTCTTTCTGTCTGTGTCTCTTCTCTTTTGGATTGGATTAGGACCTACCATACTCCAGCATGACCTGAAGTTAACTGATAACATCTTCAAAGACCCAGTTTCCAAATAAGTTCACTTTCACAAATATAGGGGTTAGGACTTTAACATCTTTCTGGGGACATAATTCAGTCCATAACAACCTCCATCTCTGAAAGAGAAACAACTGTATAATTTCATTTCGTATATACCGAGTCACTCTAAAATACAGTCACAGAGCTCGCCATGTAAAGCTAATTTGCAATGGTTGGCTTTATACAAAGGAAATAATATCTCTTTGTAATGTTAATTTCTTCTAACTTGACTTTCGGTGTGGGTTAGAATTGGACTTATCATTTTCCGAGCGTGAATGTGCCCTATATTTAGCTATGCCAGCGTTTCCACTGCAGGGATGACCCCCAGGTTCCCTGTCTCTGGGCGGAGTGATCAAGGGCTTATAGGGCCCCCTGAGCTCTATGATGCACTTTAGGCACTGAATGGACCCAGTTGAACTCTGCTGTAAAAGGAGTTGATCCTCCCAGGGAATAGCAAAGGACAACATAGGTTGCCTTCTCCAGCTTCTCATGACCTCAGGACACCATCTTAGCTTTAGGATAGCTGGTCAAGAAAGAAAGCAGGTTTTGGAATTGGTAAACATGGGTTTAAAAGAATTCTACTGGTTTCAAGCTGTGTGGCCTCGGGTGAGTTAGTTAAGTGCTCTGAGCCTTGGTTTTCTCATTTGTAAAATGTTGTTGTTGGCTGCCCTGAGTCAGCTCTGACTCATGTCTACCCCATAACAACAGAGCAAAACATCGTCCAGTCCTGTGCCATCTTCATGATTGTCAGTGTGCTTGAGTCCATTGTTGTGGCCACTGCATATTTTGAGTGCCTTCCAACCTAGGGGCTCATCTTCCAGCACTATATCAGATGGTTTTCTTTGGTGATCCATAGGGTTTTCACTGACTGATTTTCAGAAGTAGATCTCCAGGCCTTTCTTCCTAGTCTGTCTTAGTCTGGAAGCTTAGCTAAATAAAACCTGTCTGCCATGGATGACCTTGTTGGTATTTAAAATACTGATGTGTCATAGCTTCTAGCATCACAGCAACATGGAAGCCACCACAGTAGGACAAAATAACAGACAGGTGGTAGATTTGTAAAATGGGCTAATAATAATTACGGCAGCAGCAACTGTTTATGCTTGATCCAGTTGTAAGGATTAAATGAGTCAATGTGTGGGAAAGGACTTTGTAAAATATCATGTATGATATAGGTGTTGTTTTTATTATTATTCAGCCACAAGCTTCCTAGGAAATGTTGTCAGTTTGCTCTACAGACCTTGAGGCTGAGGAGATGGAGAAGTGAGGAGCAGTCTATCCTAGTCTCTTCCTTGCTTGGTGTTGTGAATAAAGACGAGGTCCCAGATCCAACATATTCTGAGGGATGCAGAGATATGCAACACAAAGTCCCCAACAATGAGGAACTTCCAAGGCTCCTGGGCTGCTTGGCATCAACGAACCCTGCTCCCAATTAAGGAAGGAGGGTGCGTGGGAAGAGGCCGTGGCTGCGAGCAAAGAATTAATGTTTATTTACTGTTGCTTGTGATTTTACGGAACTGCAGTTCTAACAACTAGAAGTGTTCTTAAAGTCATGCAGTGTGGCTCATACTATTGAATATGAAGATTTTCTTCTTTGGGAAATCTGCCCCAGACTGAGCAGGGGTGGGAGCTTTTTGTCTTCCCCCAAATCTAGGGGCAGGCCTGGCACAAGCAGGATGGGCTGATGGACGCTGCCGTTCTTTGGACGGGGAAGCTGACCTTGGAAAGCAGAGTTAAGTGCCAATGGAGGTTAAGGGACAGATGGGAGGGGATGAGGCAGAGAGGACAACCTGGCACTCTGCTGAGTGGCCTTCGAGCTCGAATGGAGGGTCAGAACAGGCAGTCCTGTCTGCTTGACTTCTCTCTTCTCTCTCTGGCCGGGGCTGGTGTCTCGGGGACCAGGCTGTGGTCACAGTGGTGAGTGAGACTGCCCTGGGCTGCAGGGCTTGGAGTAGAGGGAGCAGATGTCCTGGTTTCAGGGGAGGGTTGGTAGAAGTAGGGAGATGGGCCAAGCACAGACATGTCTGAAGTGTCAAGTGTATGGAAGCAGAGGGCAAAGAGGGCTCTGAAAGGGTGCGCACTAGCAGGACCTAGAACATGGCAAGTCTAGCAGAACCCGGAGACGTCTGTGTGGACCCCCTATCAGGGATTCAGGAACCTTTTATAAGGATTCCATGGGCTGTGAAGGAGTCTTTTGGTGGTGCAACTGGTCAAGTGCTTGGCTACAGTCTTAGTCATCTAGTGCTGCTACAACAGAAATACCACAAGTGGATGGCTTTAACAAAGAGAAATTTACTTCTTCACAGTAAAGTAGGCTAAAAGTCCAAATTCAGGGCGTCAGCTCCAGGGGAAGGCTTTCTCTCTCTGTCAGCCTTCTCATCACTGTTCCCCCAGACTAGGAGCTTCTCTGTGCAGGGACCCCAACTTCAAAGGAAGCGCTCAGCTCCTGGCACTGCTTTCTTGGTGGTAGGAGGTCCCCCGTCTCTCTGCTCACTTCTGTCTTTTATATCTCAAGAGATTGTCTCAGGGCACAGTCCAGTCTTATAGATTGAGTCCTGCCTTACTAACACAACTGCCACCCATCCTTCCTCATTAACATCACAGACGCAGGATTTATAACATATAGGAAAATCACACAACACCAGGAATCATGGCCCAGCCAAACTGATACACACATTTTTGGGGGGACATAATTCAATCCATGACAGCTACTAACCAAAAGGTTGATGGTTTGAATCTACTCAGGCACCTTGGAAGAAAGGCCAGGAGATCTACTTCTGAAAAGTCACAACCACTGAAAACCTTATGGAGCACAGTTCTACTCTGACACACGTGGGGTCTCCATGAGTTGAAATCTACTCCATGGCAGCTTGTTTGGTTTTGGTTATATGGGTTGGGAGAGAGCATAGTGTCATCTGTCAACAATTTGATACTTGGCACCAGCTGAGAACTGAGTAGCGGCAGCATCTCAGGATGTGGAGTCGTCTGGGAAGACACCCTGGGCTGAGGGCACATTGGGCTTTGAGCCACATCTTAGTGGCTAACTGGATTGTCAGGTAGAGGCAGAGTCTGAGATGGACCCACCCCACCCCTGTTCTGCTGCATTTGTATGTGTATGTGTATGTGTGTGCATGTGCACAAGAGCACCCCAGGGCCACCCTGAACAGAGTTGTGAATAAAATTTCCACTTCCCATTTGGCTGAGCTGCCAGAAGGCCTCTTCCAGTGAGGGGGCAGTGAGAGATGATAAACATAGTTAAAATACCTAACATTGTCAAGTCTTTACTCTGTATTTTTTTATGTACTATTCTCAGCTCTTTAGATGCATTCACTCATTTATTCTCGCACCAGCCCTCTCCATAGGGCACAGACACAGGTGTACACACGAGCACACAGCAGCAGAAACCCACACTAATACACTTGGGTGCACAGTTGCACCTTTGTACACAGAAACACAGCTGCATAGACACAGATGCCAGTACACACACAGAGTTACTTAAATAAACACAGATGCAGACAAACACACACACACACACACACACACACACACACACACACGCACGCACAGAGACTTTCATGGACATCTTGAGTCTTAGGGCAGAAATAGGACTTGGAGAAAGGAACTTAGGAAAGTTGTGTAGACCGCAACAAAGACAACTTGGCTACCTTCACAAGCTTCACGGTCTTGAGCCCACATAATTTTACAGATAAGGGAAAAAAGGCTCAGAGAGGTGAAGTGACTTGTCCAAGGTCACACAGCCACTAAGGGACTAATCTGGGATTCAGGAGGCAGTCAGGCTCCTGAAGGTCCTGCCAAAAAGACTGTGAGTCCCGCTGAAGAGGAGCTTTCTTGGCTGCGTGAGGTGTGTTCCCCTCAGCTTGATTCCAGCCAGCCTTGGGCAGCTGTGGGTCAGGCCAGCAGCAGGATGGAACAGACAGGCCCTGTCTGATGGTCTAGACGTGTGAATCAGAAGCTGAACTGGGAAGTGGCTGCTGCGTGGCTGGGAGCCCTTTGCCCCCAGTGCTGAGCTCCTCCCTTCTCTCCCCAGGGCCTGTACCCACAGAGAGCCGCCAGGATGCCCTACCAGCAGGCCCTGCACCCTCAGCTGGGGTGCTACTCCAGACAGGTGAGTCAGTGACCTCCCCACCTCAGTCTCAGCTCCGTGCAGGCGTTTGTGTCAGGGGACATTGGCCCCCTCATCTTTGTCTAGCTGGTCACCAGCCATATTTTCTTCCCCACCTTTGACCCCAGAGTATGGACATACATACCATCACGCATGTGAGGACAAGAGCCAACATCCCCATGTGATAATAACAAAGAACCAGCACTTACAGGGCCCGTACTGTGTTCCAAGAACCTCTCTAAGGCTTTTACCTGCATTTACTGACTTAACCCTCTCAGTTGCTCTATGATATCAGTAACAGATGAGGAAACTGAGCACAGAGAGATTAAGTAACTTGCCAAGGTCATAAAGTTAACATATAAGTTAGCTTTTGTTGTGGCAGCAAACGACCTCAACATTTCAGGAACTTTCAACAGTGAACACTGATTTCCCATTCACAGATATAGACATGTTGACTGCAGGTCACTCTGGTTCAGCTGGGCTAGGCTGTGAGTTGAGTTCAGGCCTGCTCCTCATGTCTCTCCTTCCAGGGCCCAGGCTGAAGGCATAGCAGCTCTTCTTGCATGGTGGATGGCAGGAGCACAGAGGGGGAAGCAAAAATGTGCAATGCTTCTTAAATACACCTCAAATACAATGAATACATTTTTAGCGTAAGTATGTCCCAAATATTGCATGGGACACACTTATACTAAAAAAATTAATTTGTCTATCTGAAATTTGAATTTAACTGTTGTCTTGCATTTTCATTTGCTAAATCTGGCAACCCTACTCTCAAGGTGCGAAGAAGATGAATATCTACTGGACAAGAGCACAATGGCAGAATCAGGGTTTGACCTCAGGCAACCTGGCTTCAGGCCATGCTCCCAAATACTATGCTTTTCTACCTTTTGTATGCATGGTTTGGTGGTAGAATTCTCACCTTCCATGTGGGAGATCTAGGTTCGATTCTCAGCCAATGCATCTCCTGCACAGCCACCCCCCATCTGTCGGTAGAGGCTTGTGTGTTGCTGTGATGCTGAACAGGTTTCAGCAGAGCCTCCAGACTAATAAGGACTAGAAAGAAAGGCCTGATCTACTTCCGAAAATCAGCCATTGAAAAGCCTATGGATCACAACAGTCCAATCTTCAACCGATCATGAGGATGGCACAGGACTGAGCAGCATTTCGTTCCGTTGTGCATGGAGTCGTCATGAGTTAGAGGCCAACTCGACTGCAGCTAACAGCAACAACAATATACAGACGCAGAAAAATACAGGATAAAAATAAAGCTGCAGAGACAAAAATACAAATTCGCGCGCACAGACAGATACGAATAAACATACAGCTACACGCATCCTCTCAAGGTGCACGTGCACACACAACAGAAGCCCATTCAGAGATATTGGTTATCCTGGGATGGGGAGAAGGGAGTTTAGAATGGGGTATAAAGGGTATCAAAGACCAGTTTACTACCTCCGTGGACCAGCCTGCACTCCCACACACGCTTGGCCAGACACACACACACTCAACCTCACAGACTCCTCGGCCCCTCGTCTCTCCCCGGGGAGCCTCACCCTTTCTCTGCAAATTGCACCTTGATCTGAAAGAGGTTAGAGTGTTCCTGTTGGCCTCTGAGAGTAGGGATGGGCCTATAAGTGTAGGTTACTTCATCACCTGGGCGAGGACTGCGTTTCAGCAGTAGGAGCCCTTTGCATCCTGAGAGGAAGTAAAGATGAGAGACAGCCTGGCTCACAGAATCTCGGCTACTTCACCTCTACACCATGAACAGGATACTGTCCATCTGGTTCTAAAGAAAATACTCTGAGGCAATTATATGTGTGTGCGTATATTTGAAAAAGTAATATAAGCACTTGTTAAGAAAGCAAACAAACAGAAAAAACTTAGAGGCAATCACTGTATTGGTTTCTTAGGTATCCTTCCTGTGATATCTATTTTAGAAACAATTTTGTACAAACGGTGGCATTCTGGGCACACTGTTCCATGCATTGCTTTTGTCAGTGAAGAGTATATCTTGGAAATGGTTCCAGATAAGTATACAAAGCTCTGTTTTATGGTTTTTGTCAGTTACATGGAGTTAAGGGTATATTTTTGAACAAAGCTTCTGTAAGCTCTAGGACCCACATCTGCTCTTACATATTAGTTTCCTCCCAAGTTCATACCCTTCCCACAACCGTGAAGACCAGGGGTAATTCCCATGAGCAGAATCTGCCTGCCACACTGACCCACAGGTGTCTGTCCTGGGAGGGCCTTCCTGGATCTCTCAGTGAGCTCGTGGCATGTTCAAGTTTTAGCTTGTAATCTTGAGGGTGGGGTGTCCATGTCCAGCATTACCAGGCCCTACATCTCCACGAGTTAAAATGTGGAAAGGACCAGAGGGGCGTGCAGGCTTCCAGAGGGTGCACAGCCCAGAGGTGCTGGGCACAGGCTCCGGGTTCACACAGTGAGGGTTCCAATCACAGCAAGGACACTTGAAACCCTTAATAAGCAAGTTACTTAACTTCTCTGAACCTCAGTTTCCTCATCTGTAAAATGGGAATAATAATAGTCTTACCTCACAGGGCTGTTTGGTGTTTAAATGAGAGCAAGGGCCTGGCACACCGTAAGCAATCAATAAATGCTAGCCTTTGTTAATTTTTTTTTTATTAGGGGGTAAAAGAGGGCTGTTGGAGTGCTTAATCCTTGAACAGCTTTGACCCCAGACTCTTGCTATTAAAGTGGGAATCCAGAAGCTTCTTCAGTTTTGATTGAAACTCCTCCCAACGTGGGAGGATAGATTTCTGCTCCATATGAGGAAGGAATTTCTGATGCTTGGAGCTACCAATAGCATAATACAACACTCATGAGGTAATGAGTTCTCCATCAGTTTAGGTGTGCAAGCAGATACTTAGTGGTCTAGTCCTTCCTTCTCCCTTTCCCTCTCCCTCCCTCCCTTCCTCCTTTCTTTCCTCCCTCCCTCCCTTCCTTCTTTCCTTCATTCCCTTCCTTTCTTTTCTTAGCTTGCATTCATTCATTTAATGTATGTTTATTGAGCAGCTACTGTGTGCCAGGCACTGTCCCAAGGCTGGGATATGTCAGAAAATAAGACAAATTAGGTTCCTGCCTTGTAGGGGTATGATAGTGGGAGTCCCAGTTCCTGGTGGGAATCTGAGCCAGCTTATCTCAGAAACACCACTGAGTTCCTGTATTTCTCTAGGGTTTGAGCTGAACTCCATTGCAGCTTTTTGCCCTTTCTCCTAGATTCACCTTGTCTAATACAGTAGCCACTAGCCCCGTGTGGCTATTCAAATTAAATTAAAATTCTTTCATTAAAATTCAGTAAAACTAAAAATTCAGTTCCTCAGTCACACTTGCCACATTTTGAGTGCTCACGAGCCACATGTGGCTAATGGCTATTGTATTGGGCAGCGCAGATATAGAACACTTCACCATCTCAGGAATTTCCTTTAGACAGCACTTTCTTGGACTTGGACTCTGTTGAGATCCTGAGATAGAAGCCAGTGTTTCCCCGCTTTTTGGAGATGGTAAAAGCCTTAAAAATGAACAAGGGACTTTTAGGTGGTTATTGGCAGAGGGAAAGGTAAAGTATGAGGATAGAAATAATATTTATTTGCTATTTATTATATGCCAGTCTCTTTACTCATATCAACTCACTCATTTCTCACACAGCTTACAGATAGTATTTGCCGATTTTACAGATGAGGAACCTGAGGCTCAGAAAAATTCAGTAAATCACTAGGCTTATATCCAGAAGCTGTACCCTGTGCTTTTTCCATTCTAACATGCTACCTTCTCTGTACCCTACAGTGACTGGAGGCACAGGGGCTGAAGTGTAGGGGTCAGGGCTAGTGTTAGGGCTGGGGAATGGCGGTATTTAGAAGCAGAGGGCTTCACTGAACCCAGCTCCTTTCTCCCTCTGACCTGCAGGTGACGCCGTACAACCCACAGCAGATGGGACAGCAGATTTTCCGATCTTCCTACACACCTCTGCTGAGCTATGTCCCCTTCGTCCAGCCCAACTATCCGTACCCTCAGAGGACTCCTCCAAAGCTGTCCACCAACCCCCGGGACCCTTCTCCCATGGCAGGAGATGGGCCACAGTACCTCTTCCCCCAGGCATATGGGTGAGTCTTCAGCCTGTACTGGAAGTCCAGCCTGTACCCAGAAAACTGCCAGAAAGGAGAGGGTAGTGCAGTGGGCTTTATCAGTGCTTTCTTGATACGCGTGTTCCATGGCTTGGGGAGGAGAGGGTCCTGTGCCTGTGAATCCTGGGAGGGGCCTTGTATGGAGGTGAGCAGAGTATGGAGCCTTTGTGGGCCCCCTTTGTATGTCCAGTTCAGGGCTGGGCCCTACAGTTTGGTTGCAGAAATGCAAGTGCACAGCCGTTATCGAACGGCCACACTACGCCATATGAGGGGCAGTAGTGGAGCTCGATGTTTTGCCTTTACCCATTTGCTTGGTTTGCAACAGGACATGGCCAGATAATCTTCTTCCAGCTGTCTCCTCATTTACCGCACCCTGAGCTCCATGCCAGGGTAATATCCTGAACATCCCATTGACTTCATGACAGGCCCTGTGGAAGGGCCTTCGACTGCTTATCAGGGCTGCTCACACTTTTCCACCCAAATCCCCTAAACAGCAGAGAACAGGGACTCATTCGCTCTAGGAGGGTCTGAGGGCTCAGCAGCAAATAGCCAGCACAAATGCAACCTTTCAGCTGACAATTCCACCCAGATTTTGCATGCTGTTCAGTAGTAAATCCATGCTTGTTTTAGTAAAACAATAAATAGCTGCTCATCCCCACCCACCAAATCTTCAACTAATAGCTCCAAGAGGCAGTGCTGTGTCATTCCTGGGAATCAAGTCTCCCAGGCACACCCTGAGAATGTGTGCCCAGCAGGAGCTCAGTGTATAGAATCAGGGCCAAGCCCCCCCGCCCGACTCCCAGTCACAGACCTTCATTCCCCAAACTCTCCCTTTCAATCAGTCTTTCCCAAAATGTCTTGTTAAAAGGGTTGCACGCTAGAAAGAGATTTCTGTAATCAGATATGTTTGGGAAAAGCTGTGTGAAACAACGGTAAATAGATTTCTTAACTGTTGAAATTCTCAGATCATTTAATTTCCTAGGGTGTGTACTGAGAATCTTCAAGAGGGTGGTCAATAGTGTTATTTGAACGTGAAACTCACAACCCCTTTGGTCTCTAGTTATTCCTTTCTTCCCACCTTCCTTCCTCCTTCCTTCCTTTCTTTCTTCCTTCCATCTTTCCTTCCTTTCTTTCTCCCTTCTTTTCTTCTTCCCTCCCTCCCTAGTTGAAGTATTAGACTTGTCGCTGAAAAAGGTGAAAAAATAAGATTAGAAAAGGGAGATTGAGATAGGATTACCAAAGGCCTTTGACTGCTGTGCCTGGGGATCCAATGAAGATTCATACGTCAGAGTGAATTGACTGGAGGGAAGAGAAGCAGGAGACAGAGAGGGAGTGGTCTGGAGGTGACTTTAGGGGGCTGTATGAGTGCTTACTTACATAGGGTCACTATGAGCCGGAATCGACTCCACGGCAGTGGGTTTGTTTTTTGGTTTATGAGCGCTTATCACCTCCTTGTAGGTAAGAGTAGATGAGACGCAGAGGGAAGGAGGGTAGAGGGATCAAGACAAACTACCAGTTGGTCTGCAGACTTCCTGTGTTCCATGGTGTGACTCTGGGCTCAAGGGAAGAGAAATGCAGATTAGGAGCAGAGGATTGGGACCTGGCCTCTGGGGATGTCTGCCGAGAGGGCAGGGAGAGGAAGAAGAGTGAGCGGGAGAATGAGGAAGGGGCAGTGTGAGAAGTGCAGCAGAGTGTGGGGAGAGTGGAGATGGAGCAGCACAGACGAGGGAGAGCAGTGATCATCTCCCCTGAGAGGCTGTGGAGATGAGGAAAGTGAAGTCAGTACAGAGAGGCAAGGAGTGGAGGTGTGTGTCCCCAAAAGAGATGATTCATTCATTAAAAAACTATCTATTGAGCACCTTCTATATGCCCGGCACTGTTTTAGGCATTGGGGATAATGGGGTGAGCAAGACAGATAAAGTTTTTCCTCCCTCAAGGAGCCTACATTCTAGGGGGGAGATAAACAATAAAGAAGTAAATGAACACCACCAAGTGCTCTGAAGGAAAGTTTAGCGAGGTAAGAGGAGAGAGAAAGAAGAAATGTCTTTTGAGCCAAGCTCTAAATGAAATGAGAGAATGAGCCATGCACATGTAGGGGCAGAAGGAATAGAACGTACAAAGGCCTCAAGATGGAATCAGCTAGCTGGAGCACAAAGAGTGATGGGAAGATAGTGGATGGAATTGAAATCAGAGAGGTAGCCAGGGAGGGACTAGATAGGGCCTGGTAGGCATGGCAAGGAGTTGGAGTTTTATGTTAAGAGCCTACTAACCAAAAAAATCCGCGGCCATTGAGTCAATTCTGACTCATAGCGACCCCATAGGGTTTCTGAGGCTGCGAATCTCTACGGAAGGAGATTGCCACATCTTTCTCCTGTTGAGCTGCCGGTAGTTTCGAACCACCAACCTTTTGGTTAGTACTTGATCACTTTAACCACTTCACCACCAGGGCTCCATTTTAAAAGCAGTGGGAAGCTGTTAAGGCTTTTGAACTGATAAGGCCATGATCTGGTTTTCTACTTAAACAAGATCACTTTGGCCAATGTGTGAAGCATGAACTATGGGGATAAGAGTTGATGCAGGAGAGCAAGTTGTTGTTGTTAGTTGCGGTTGAGTGTCTCTGACTCATGGTGACCTTACTTACAACAGAATGAAATGTTGCATGCTCCTCCACCATCTTCACGATTGTTGGTATGCTTGCATCCATTGTTGTAGCCACTGTGTATTTCGGGTGCCTTCCAACCTAGTAGGCTCATCTTCCAGCACTATATCGGACAACATTCTGTGTAATCCATAGGGTTTTCATTGGCCAATTTTTGGACGTCTATCACCAGGCCTTTCTTCCTAGTCTGTCTTAGTCTAGAAGCTCCGCTGAAACCTACCACCATGGGTGACTCTGCTGGTATTTGAAATACCAGTGGCATAGCTTCCAACATCATAGCAACTCTCAAGCTACCACAGTGTGACAACCTGACAGACGGTGGTGATTCTGGTTTTCTACTTTAAAAAGATCACCCTGGGTAATGTGTGAAGAATGGACTATAGGGGTAAGAATGGGTGCAAGACAGCAGGTTAGGGAGCCTTTATAGTTGTCCAAGCAAGAGATGGTGGCTTAGACTGGGGCGGTGACCATGGGGAAGGAGACAAGTGAAAAGATTGGAGATGTTCTTGGTAAAATTGCCGGGACTTGATGATAGAGTGGAAGTAGGATGAGAAAAAGAGAGGAGTCAGGCATGATTCTTAGGTTTTTTTACTTGAGCAACTAGGTGAATGGTAATACCGAAATACTAAGATCAGGATGACTAGAGGAAAAAGCTGTGTATCATGAGTTTTCAGTTTTGAACTTGTGTAATTTGAGATGCTGTTTAGATATATGAGTGAGGCTGTTGATAGGCAGGTGGATATACAATTTTGGGACTCAGGGGAGAGGTTGGGCTGGTAATATGAATATGGAATCCATTAGCAGATAGGTGATATTTAAAGCCATAGGATTAGATGAGATTGCCCAGGGAGTGAATGTATATAGAGAAGAGAAAAGGCCCAAGGACTGAGCCCTGGGGCTTCCAACATTAAGAGATTGCAGGGTGTGGTTATGGAGAAACCAGCAAAAGAGCTGAGAAGGAATAACTAGTGGGGTGGGAGAGAAAATTGGAAAGTGTAGGGTGTAGGAAGCCAAAAGAAGAAAAGTGCTTCCTGGAGGAGCAAGGAAGATATGGGTAAGAGATGAGAAGAAACCCAGGCACTATAGGGTGGAGTGCAGGGAGCATTGAGCACAGTGGTGTATTGGGGGGTTACCAGTGGTGCTAGATGGAACAAGGCCTAGGAGAGGCTGCCCTGGACGGGAGAGGATACATGGGCCTCAGTGGATAGTTAAGTCTGGGAGATAAGAAGAGTCAGCTCTTCCTCTGGATCAGGAAAAAATGAGGTTTAATTAAGAAGCTAAACTGTATCAAGTGGGAGTAGAAGGAGCAGGTGGCCTCCGTGATCTCAGGGAAGAAGGAAGAGGGCCCTGCCTTCCCTTTGCCGAGTCAAACTACACGTATTTTTCAGGATAAGATAACCAGGCTATTTATCTTCTAAGCAATAATAATTTAGAGAGTTAAAAGAGGCACTAATAATTATTGTACTGGAAATAGCAGCATAGGGATTGTCCTAGGCAAACCAGGAGGTATAGCCACCATACTTATGGGGCAGCTCAATTTTTTCTTCCTCTTCCTCCAAGAAGCTTTCCATGATAATTCCAGTCCACACAGATTGCCCCTCTTCCTGGCCCTCTAGCGCACATCTGTCTAGACCATGTCCTTGGCAGTTGATTTGATCAGAAGTTCTCAACCTGGAGCCCGTAGATATATGGGGTGTAGCAATCAGATATGAAGTATGTCATAGTAATTTGTTACTGATAGTTGTTAAATGCTGAAGCATGAGTCTTGGCCTTTATTTTATACATCAGAGTAGGATCCAAGGGATTCCTGTAATAACATCACTTTCAATCATTTAGGTTCCAGTATGATTTTTGAAAGAGAAAAAGAGGCGGAGTTACTGCCGACATTAATTAATTGTTTATTAGGCATCTACCTTGTGCCGCTGGTCTGCTAACCAAAAGATAGGAGGTTCGGGTCCACCCAGGGACACCTCGGAAGAAAGGCCTGGTGATCTATTTCCAAAAAATCAGCCACTGAAAACCCTATGGAGCACAGTTCTACTCCAACATACGTGGGGGTTGCCATGAATCTGAGTCAACTCGACAGCAACTAGTTTGGTTTTACCTCACCTGTGTGCTGCGTGTAAAACAGTGAACCATCCAGACAATGTCATTACTGTCCCGGAGATTATTTTAGTGAGAAGGGAATCAGACATAATCCAAAGCCTAGCTTGTCCATGGAAGCTCACAGCAAGAGACAGATACTGTTGACAGCTAAGACACTATAAATTTATGTGGTGGTTTGCTTTCATTGCTTTTGCTCCATCACCCCTCCTTTTTTTTTTTTTTTTGATATTATCAGTTCATGGGGGGATGCCACAAACATGAATATCTTCTGTAATATGCATCTACCCAACTGAAAAGTGATTGAGAATCCCTGGATTAGACTAAATCTAGCTATTTGCTCTGCTGCAATTTGTATGGAGCTTTGTTCCCATTCATTCAAAGTACCCTAGCAGATGGGTAAAGAAATTGCAATGGGAACCCAGAAGCGAGAGCAACCAGTTCCATCAGGAGAGGTCAGGGAGGGCTTCACAGAAGAGATGGCTTTTGAACTCTATTTTACAGAATGAATAAGAGTGTACCAGGGAGAAAAAGTAGAACTATGTGTGCTTCTGTTCTTAGAGGCTGAGGCTCAAGTCTTCCCAGCACTTCCTTCCCTGAAGGTCTAGCAAAGACCCAGGTCTCTCAGTGATGCCTCAGTGCTCACGTCTTGGACTGGAGTAGAAATGAAGTGCCTGATTTCACTTGGTGCTGATAAGGAGAGAACGCACCCCAGGATTGTCCAAACTCCAAGGTCAATGCTGGGGCCTGGCCCTGTTCTCTGATGTTGTGGAATGTCTGAGGAACACACCTGGTCCTCTACAACAGGTAGGGAGAGTACAGGCACTCAGGAAAGGGGACCCAGAGGAGCCCCCTACCCTGTGGTCATGGTCATGGCGAGAGCGCAGGCCCCATAGAAATGTTCCTTATAGACCATCAGGGGTTTCCCTATTTAAGGTAAGTGACAGAAGAAGCTCTTTATTGTCTTCTAATCATATCATTTTAATATTTTATTTTCCCAGAGCCAAAGCTTTTTTACTATGCTAAAGCTTTTAGCCTCCAAGCCTGTCATGATCTTCATAGTCTTTGGCAGCCACAAAAATTAATATATCGTTTTCTCTAATATCACTGATAGCATCAGGGATTTCATCAGAGTATTCATACTCTCTCTCTTCCAGGTTCAGCTCAACGTCTGGTGGGCCGCTGATGAACAGCCCCTATTTTTCCTCTGGTGGTAATGGCATAAATTTTTAGATTTCCTTTTCTTCTCCCTCCTTAGCCCTGACCCAAGGGCTAAGGGCTCTGGAATTCTGGAGTCTGCCTCAGCTTGGTATGAAGTTTGGAAAGCCAAGGTTCCGACCAGGTCACTGACAGAAAACAGCAAGACCAGACTCATCTGTTGACCAACACTTACACACACTCCCCCGTACATACAGCACCAACCACGCATACACACCCTTCATCTTCATACTCAACTTGCTCAACCACACACGTACCTGTATTTAGCTAACATGAGTGATTTTTGTTTCTGTTGTTGTTGGTAACATAGAAGTAAGACATTTAATTTAGAAAGTTTGTATTTTATGATAAAAGTATGAGCTACATTAAATGGGGTGTGCCTGTTTATTTTTGCTGTGTTCTGCGTAATCTTCACTGCCCGTTTTCCCCATGAGACTCAACATTTACTCAGGACATGAAGAGAAACCACGGGCTAGAGTCCTCAGAGTGTTGCAATCTAATTATGAGGCCACAGGGATTACAAAATGAGGGTTTATCTCTTTTTGCTCTGTGATCCATTTACTGCTGAACACTTCAGTTTATGCATATCAAGAATGGGCATAAAATGAGTGCATGCCCCTCTGTCCCGCCCCAGGTGGAGGTCTCTCTTGTATACGAGGTGGAAAAATGTGGACTGGAAAAAATTCAAAACTAAGTCTAAATGTAAAAGACTATATCCAAAAAGTGTATGTACATCAATGCCAATTTAGAAGTTAGTCTCAAAGACTAACTTTTGGACCTATCTTGTTCAAAACTTTTATCAGTGTCTTGGATAAGAGCAACCTGATCACACTTACGGAGGACACAAGGCTGGGAAGATAGACTCTAAAACAGTGGATTGAATTGGTGATGGCACAGGTACTTTAACTCTCCTGTCTTGCACCTGTGGCAGGCATCACTAATCAACTGTGGTATTCTTTTCCCCTGAACCTGGACAAAGTCACAGAATCATTCTCCAGATGGTGCTCCAGGCACCCGTCACTGATCGGAGTTGGTCTATGAAATGAAACCCATTTGCCATCCTTTGGCAAAATCTAACAAGATGAAATTACACAGAGGGTAAATGTAAAGACCTATTTTGGAGTCTTAAAAAATGAACTGTGCACATAGGGGATGGGCCAATGTTGTTAGCTCTAACCTGCTCTATTACCAAACCCATTAGTCACCTGGAAGCACAACCTCACCCTGGCTTACGCTAGTGAGAGCCAGGCCTGGAGAACATTAGGAGCCCTAACCCTGAGAGCAATGAGAGGCTGGGGATCTGGAAGTCGTCAGTGTCTCAGGATGGCCTTAAGCTCAGTGCTCACAAGAGCATTTTTCTTGCCTGCACATTCTGACACCATTGGACTAACCTGCCTTTCTTGGTCCCTGGAAACCAATTTCTCTCCTACGTTCTCTTAGGACTTAAACCTTCTCCCTGATTCTATGGTCTAAGTCTAGAGATTCTCCCTGTCTCTACAGTCTCTTTTCCCTAGGCTGGACCCAGTATTTTTTGTTTCTTCTTGATATCCTTCATTAACAGCCCAGATTCTCCATTGACTTTGAGAAACACTGGTTACCTGGAAGTTTTCACAAAGGCAGGAGCCTTTATCCTTCCCAAGGACTTCCTCAAATCATACTTCCAGGTATTGACCCAGGTTGGACTATAGTTTGCCACACTCCCTTGACCTCAGAGTGTTGGGAGGCAGGAGAGTAAGAGAAAGAGCATGGGTTTTGCCCTTGGCCAAACCTGGGTTCTTATCCACTTTCCAACTCTGACCTTGGGCAAAGAACTTAACTACTGTGAACCTCAGTTCTACTAATGGCAATATTAATAGATGAGGATTAAAAGATAATGTAGACTTGTGGTTTTAAGACGGTGAAGAAAGACATTACTGTCCCTCGTCTCTTGAAATTTACCCCTCAATAACAAGAAAAACAAGAACACAGATAAACATCATCCTCAATGTAATTAGGAAAAGCCTGCAGTCCCACCCGCTATCTACAAAGGCAGAAACAGGATAGAGGAATGGTAAATGCTATGGCGGAACAGGGAAAGATGACCTTGACATGCCTGCAAAAGGAGGTACCATCAAGAACAAAGGGATTTCTCCCTGTAGAGCCCTGAAGATCTCGGGAACTTGAGTTGCCAAGCACCAGGGAAGATGGGGCTGCAGAGGGAGCTGAAAGCAAGGGGTTGGGAGTAGCTATTATCCTTGCCCCACAAATCTAGGGGCCATGGACTGTTCTGTAAGAGACAGAAGGCATCTTGTCTGGAGAAGCTTAAGGATACCATGTATTAAGATTGTGGAGATGAGGGCCCAGATGGAAAATGGAGATTAAGTGAAATACACATAGACACTCCAATGCCAGCAGCTAGGTTTTAACCAAGAGGCAGGAGTTTAGAAGATTGTCTGGAGAAATTAATTGCCCCAAAGGCATTTGGAGTTACCATTGAAAATTACCCTATGATTATGTGCATGTATAAAGAGCTTCGAATCAACTTTTTAAGACTTACTCTTAATAGGAATGGCCAGCCTCCAACAAGAAAAAAACAGTTAAAACAAAGGTATAAAGGAACCAAGGAAACACCATAAAATTCTCAGATAGATAAGAGAAGATAGTACATTTTAAAAATAAGACAATATGCCTGTCTTAGCATCTGTCAGTGTGTTGTACTGTGGTGGCTTGTGTGTTGCTGTGACGCTGGAAGCTATACCACTGGTATTTCAAATACCAGCAGGGTCACCCATGGGGGACAGATTTCAGAAGAAGGACCTAGCAGTCTACTGAAAAAATTGGCCAGTAAAAACCTTATGAATAACAGTGGAACATTGATATAGTGCCAGAAGATGAACTCCTCAGGTTGGAAGGCACTCAAAATATGACTGGGGAAGAGCTGCCTCCTCAAAGTAGAGTAGACCTTAATGACATGGGTGGAGTCAAGCTTTCAGGACCTTCATGTGCTGATGTGGCATGACTGAAAATGAGAAGAATCAGCTGCTAATATCCATTAATAATTGGAACATGGAATGTACAAAGTATGAATCTAGGAAAATTGGAAGTCGTCAGAAATGAAATGGAACACATAAAGATCAATATCCTAGGCATTAGTGAGCTGAAATGGACTGGTATTGGCCATTTTGAATTAGACAATCATATGGTCTACTATGTCGGGAACGACAAATGGAAGAGAAATGGCATTACATTCATTGTCAAAAAGAACATCTCAAGATCTATACTGAAGGACAACGCTGTAGGTGATAGGGTAATATCCATATGCCTACAAGGAAGACCAGTTAATGTGACAGTTATTCCAATTTACACACCAGTAATGCCAAAGATGAGAAAATTGAAGATTTTTTACCAATTTCTGCAGTCTGCAATTTATCAAAACATTCAATCAAGATGCATTGATAATTACTGGTGATTGGAATGTGGAAGTTGGAAACAAAGAAAAAGGAACAGTTTGGAAAATATAGCCTTGGTAATATTAATAACACTGGAGATCGCATGATATAATTTTACAAGACCAGTGATTTATTCATTGTAAATACCTTTTTTTCAACAACATAAAGGGCAGCTATACATGTGGACCTCACCGGATGGAAATCACAGGAATCAAATCAACAACATCTCTGGAAAGAGACAATGGAAAAGTTCAATATCATCAGTCAGAACAAGGCCAGAGGCCAACTGCGGAACAGACCATCAATTGTTCATATGCAAGTTCATGTTGAAACTGAAAAAAATTAAAACAATTCCACAAGAACCAAAATATGACCTTGAGTGTATCCCACCTGAATTTGGAGACAATCTCAAGAATAGATTTGATGCATTGAACCCTAATGACCAAAGACCAGATGAGTAGTGGGATGCCATCAAAGACATCATACATGAAGAAAGCAAAAGGTCATTAAAAATACAGGAAAGAAAGAAAAGACCAAAATGGGTCTGAAGAGACTCTAAAAGTTGTTCTTGAACATACAGTAGCTAAAGCAAATGGAAGAAATGATGAAGTGAAAGAGCTGAACAGGATATTTGAAAGGGTAGCTCGAGAAGACAAAGTAAAGTATTATAATGAAATGTGCAAAGACCTGGAGTTCGAAAACTAAAAAGGAAGAACACACTTAGCATTTCTGAAGCTGAAAGAACTGAAGGAAAAATGCAAGCCTCGAGTTGCAATATTGAAGGACTCTATGGGCAAAATATTGAATGATGCAGGAAGCATGGAAAGAATACACAGAGTCAGTGTACCAAAAAGAATTGGTTGACATTCAGCCATTTCAGGAGGTACCATGTGATCAAGAACCAGTGGTATTGAAGGAAGAATTTCAAGCTTCACTGAAGGCATTGGTGAAAAACAAGGCTCCAGGAATTGACAGAATACCGTCTGAGGTGTTCAACAAATAGATGTAGGTGCTCACTCTTCCATGCCAAGAAATTTGGAAGACAGCTACCTGGCCAATCCATTGGAAGAGATCCATATTTGTGCCTATTGCAAAGAAAGGTGATCCAACAGAATGCGGAAATTATCAAACAATATCAATATCACACACAAGTAAAATTTTGCTAAAGATAATTCAAAAATGGTTGTGGCAGTACGTTGAATAGGGAACTGCCAGAAATTCAAGCTGGATTCAGAGAAGGACGTGGAATGAGGGATATCATTGCTGATGTCAGATAGATCTTGGATGAAAGCAGAGAACACCAGAAAGATGTTTACCTGTATTTTATTGACTATGCAAAGGCATTTGACTCTGTGGATCATAACAAATTATGGATAACATTGTGAAGAATAGGAATTCCAGAACACTTAACTGTGCTTATGCAGAACCTGTACATAGACGAGACAGTCATTTGAATAGAACTAGGGGATGGTGCATGGCTTAAAACCAGCAAAGATATGCATCAGGGTTGTATCCTTTCACTATATTTATCCAGTTTGTGTTTTGAGCAAATAATCTGAGGAGCTGGACTATATGAAGAAGAACATG